ATTTAGTAGTCATGTCTTAGGTTCCTCTTGGCTATGGCGGTTTCTCAGACATTCCTTTTACTTATTTATTTATTTATTTATTGGTGGCTTGGCTGGTAAGGGGAACCAAACCCTTGACTTTTTTGTTACAATACTGCACTCTAACCAACTGAGCTAACCAGCCAGCCTCTTTTCCTTCATTTTGATGACCTTGACAATTGTCAGGAATACTAGTCAGGTATTTTGTAGAACGTCCCTCAATTGAGATTTGCCTGATGTTTTTCTCATGATTGGGCTAGGGTTATGAGTTTTTAGGAGGAAGACCACAGAGGCAAAGCACTGTTTTTATTCGTGTGAAGGGTAAATAATGTTGACATGTTTTTTATCACTGTTGATGTTGACCTTGATCACCTGGCTGAGGTAGTATTTGTGAAGTTTCTCCACTGTAAAGTTAATCTTCCCCCACTCCCTTTTCCACACCATATTCTTTGGGAGAAAATCTTTATGCCTAGCCCACATCAGAAAGAAGTAGGGAGTTATGCTCCACTTCCTTTAAGGTAAAGTGTCTACATAAATTATTTTGAATTCTTCTGCGCAGGATATTGGTCTGTTCTCCTCCTTTTACATATTCTATAATATATTTATACCATGGATGTTCGTTTTGTACTTTGGTTCATTACTACTTTATTTCTCAAATTGTTCCAGCTTTGGCCACTGGGATCTTTTTCAGTTGACTCTTGTATCTCTTTGCCATATTCCCATCATCGTGAAGTTTTTTACTTTGCTTTTTTAGCACTTCCTTCTTGGCACTACAAGATTCTCATGCTCATTTTGTATATTTCCTGTCCCAGTCCTAGAATTAGCTGTTTCTCCAGGAAGCCCTGGTTCCTTTTATTGGAGAGTGGTATTGGAAACCAAGATCTGGGCGTTAGGTGTGCTTGCTACTGGGGTGTTGTTGCTTGTAGGCCCTCTTAGCTGACAGAGCATGGACCTATATGTGTGTATACTAAACTAAATTTTTCTTTATGTAATATCTGTGTCTATAGTAAGCTAAACATGAGGTGATATACATATCTTCAACTCTAATCTACTGCCACATGGATCATTCTAGCTTTCTTGGTTATCTGTAACCACCCATTTCAACAGTGAGAAAACTAGCTTCCACCATCTGTGAGAGTACTTCAAAAAAGTTCATGGAAAAATAGAGTTAAAAGATAACATGAATCTTTCATTTACTTAATTATTCAATTTCAGTATACAAATACAGCTATAGTGGCTTCAAAATTAACATATACTCCCGTGAGAAACAATTTTGTCAGCTAGAGGACAGTGCTTACAGACTACTCATTTCCAGTTATGTAGGTCATCACCTTTTCCCCCCACTTCCTTCAGTGAGGTTGTTTCATATATTTGTAATACAATTAGATTTTTTCATCATAGTCTGTATTCCCCCCAGGGATCCTCTGACCTTCTAAATAATATTTAAAATTTACATACGTTAAGGTTCACTCTCCTATAAAGTTCTGTGGGCTTTGATTAATGCATAATGTCACGTATCCACCTGTCTCACAGTTTTTGCGTTTGTTGTCTTTCTGCCTGGAATCACATATTGAGAATACTCATGGTTGGCCCCTTATCTTTCATTCAGATCTCTGCTCAAATGTTATCTCCTTGGGGTGGCCTTCCTTGAGCACCCAATCTAAAGGAATCTCCTAGAATAAAATGAAAATTTTGTTCATTTATTTTCGGTGGGGTATGGGGGTGTGGTCAGTCTCCCTCTCCTAGCATATAGATTTAATGAAAGCAGGGACTATATCTTTATCCTGGATATCTAGAATACTGGGTCAATGAATATATGTTGATGTATGAATGTATAATCCTGTCCTGGGTGTGTCCAGCATTGCATTTCCTTGTGCTTGGTTTTAACACTGATCACTAGTGATTGCAAGTAGACTTGTTTAGTTGAGATTCCAGCTCCCCCTGCTTCATGCCTTGCAAAAGGGTTTTGCTTGCAAATTAGGTTAAGTATTTCAGTATATTGAAGATGTGCAAATACTCTGATTGTTTTCTCCTACAATATTTATAAGCCTTCTTAAAGTAGTTATTTTAATAAGGGACTTGCAAGTTCTGTTTCTACTTAGAACTGTACATTAATACCATGGATTTCCCAGCCTGGCTGTACATTAAAATTAGCTGAAGATCTTTAAAAAAAAATTCTACTAATTTGTATTTTAACAACCAGCCTGGCATGTGGTCAGAACATTTGGAGTTTAAAAACTGCACTGTATTTATGTATAGTGAGGTTTTGTGATAATGTATAGAAGCTTATACAAAAAGTCTTTTTTACTTGGACTAACTTTCTACAACTGTCTAAGCCCTTAGTATGTGCTAGGTACTAGGGAATAATGTAGATACCACAGACACTGTTCTCAAGGAACGTACACATTCTCAGAAGGCAACAAAATGAATATAAATAATAATAATAGAAGTTAGAAAACAAGGCTGGCTGGTTAGCTCAGTTGGTCACAGCGTGGTGCTGATATCACCAAAGTCCGGGGTTTGATTCCTGTACTGGCCAGTCACCAGAAAAAAAAGAAGAAAGGTAGAAAACAATAGGCACATAGGAGAGGTAGAAAACAATTTTGACATTTAAAGGAGGGAGTGGTCACTGGTACCTGAGAAGAAGGTAAGATTAGAGTCCAGTTCTTAAAAAGAATCCACAGTAAGAAAGAGGAACCTGGATATCACAGTCCCCTAGTGGGCTGTAATGTAGGAAATTGAAAGTTAATTGGGGACTATTACAAGCCAAAAGGCAATAGTCAAAATGAGAAGAGGTCTGGAACGGTCGGGAACTAAAATCCAGATTGTCAGAGCTGTCAAAGCCAATGGTTCTTAACAGTTATAGAGTTCTTAACAGAGCTTTTCAACTTCAGTATTGACAATTTTACAGTATTTTATTTATATGTTTTTTGGGGTTTTTGCTGCTGGCTGGTATGAGGATTTGAACCCAGGACCTTAGTGTTAAAAAGCTGCACTCTAACCAACTGAGCTGACCAGCCAGCCTTTAAACTATTTTAAACATTGAAAAAATTTTATTAGAAAGTTTATGTACTACTTGTGTAATTTTTAAAAATAAACAATTGCATACCTAAAGAATCCAAACTTCAGCTTTTGGATTTTGTTTTTTAAGCTCTGGAAAGGATAGCCCATCCAAATTAAACCCCTCATGTTGCACATAAGAGAAGCTAAATTCGGAGTTAAAATGTGCCTCTCCATGGTCACAGGGTGCAGAATTAAGGCAAGAATTTCAGTCTTCTGACTCATGAATATATACTACCACATTCTTGTCACGTTGAGGTCAATCTCTTTGTCTCAACAGCTTGCTAGCTGTTTGTTGAGAGGAGTTTCTTGAGGATAGGGACTATATCTTATTCATCTTTATATTCCTTATATAGACATAGTAAGTAATATATAGAATAGGCATGCAATAGACATTTGTTGAATGAAAGGATGAGTGGATTTGGCTTTTGTATTGAGCCTTGAAGGAAGGCTAAGGTTTAGCTCTGTAGAAATTTTGGTCATGAAATGTACACATGAACTGTTAGATTTGCTGAGTATTAGACACTTGAAGGGAGATAGTGAGAAAATAACCTAGAAAGCCAGGTTGAGGCCACCTACCTTATAGAATCACTTGAATGCCAGGCTAAGGATTTTGGAATTTGTTATCCAGTCAACTGAAAGGTTTTGAGCAGAGGAGTAACTCACACAAAAAAATAAATGGAGGAAGAGTCAAAATAAGGGAGAGAAATTAAATTATTAACAGTTTACTCGAGGCGTTACGAAAGCTTGATTAAAGATTCTGGCTGTGGGAATGGAAGTGCAGTTACAGATGTAAGGTAAAATAGAAAATGAACTATCAGCACTTGATTACTGATGAAGTGTGGAGTTCCAGGGATAGAGTACTCAAAGATGAGGTTGATGTTCCAGATGTCTTTGGATATTTTGGAGGGTGTTGGTGGTGGTAACAGATCCAATGTTTTTAAATGATGGCCTTGAGATACTGGTGGCACATCTAGGTGGAAATGTTGAATAAGCTATTGGAAATGTGCTGCTAAACTTTAGAAGAGGTGGCAGGTCCAGAGATTAAATTAGGAGTCGTATGCAGAAAGGGTAAATCAGGTTGAGGATGGAATGAGATTGCCAGGGAGGTAGCTGGAGAGAGACAAAAATCAAATACACATCCTTAGGAAAATTCCTACACTTAAAGGGATGGAAGAACCTCTTCTGGTTTAAAACTCTTGTAGAAGAGGCAGAGAACGAGCTTTGGTCAGAGACAAGGTGAAAACTGAGAACAATCTGAGGAGAAAGGGATGGGAAAAATACTTGTCATAGGAAAATATCTGAATTATAGACTCTTAATTTTTTAAAAATAATTTTATTTGGTTTCTTAATTCCTTTGCTTTTAATTTAATTTAATTTAATTTTATTTTTTGGCAGTTGGCCTGTACAGGGATCTGAAGCCTTGACCGTGGTGTTATCAGCACCATGCTCTACCGAGAGAGCCAGCCCCAGACTCTTAATAAAAAGTGTTCATGTTATAAGCTAAGTTATATACCAATAGATTACATGACATTAAAGACATGATACTTTACAGAAAAGTGACATTACGTCATTATGTATTATAAACAGAATAGTTTAAAGAATATTTTGCTAGACCCAAAGGTTGAAGAAATCTTTAACTTTATACTTGACAGGAGAATATGACTTTTAATCAGTATTCCTCTTAATTGAAAGCCTTTGAGTTTTAAAAGGAATTATTTATTCTATAAGTCTAGAATAGTTAGCTGACCTAATAAATTCTGAGTCAGTGAAGTTTTACCATACTTTAACATCTACCTTCAACACTTTTTAGTGTATTTTTCTACAAGTATTCATTACTTAATGAATTAGAGGTAAAAATACCCACATATGTACTGTTGGTTTTTCCCTAAGTAACTTTTTGTTTTTGTCCTTCTTTTCAGGATCTGACTGGCATAGAATCTATGGATCAATGTCGCCATACCTTGGAACAGCATAACTGGAACATAGAGGTACAATAGGATTCATCGTGAGCTTATTTGCTGTGGTCTATTAATCAAAAACATATTTTTCCATAGGAGGAATCTTTTTCCTCAATAGGTTTTTTTTTTTTTTTCCCAGAATTACAAGTCTTTAGTCTTTAAAAATAAACGTGTGGGAAAGGTAGAGAATATAATCAAAAACATATTTTTCCATAGGAGGAATCTTTTTCCTCAATAGGTTTTTTTTTTTTTTCCCAGAATTACAAGTCTTTAGTCTTTAAAAATAAACGTGTGGGAAAGGTAGAGAATGTGATGAAAGTTTATAAAATCAGGAAAACTGCTGACCAAATCCCTCAGTGTAGTGCCCCCACCCTTTATTTTTCTTTAATGACTCTTTGGGAAAATTATTGGGTTTTGTATAATTAGTTTTTAACCAGATAACTTAATGTGAACCTTCTTATTACATGTTTTATAGTTTATTCTTTTGCGTTTTCTAGGTAGTCATGTCATCTGTAGTTACATGATTTTTTTCAGCATATACATCTTTTGTTTCTTTTACTTGACCATTGAATTATCTAAAACTTTAGAACAGTGTTAGTTAATAATGATAATAGCCAACATCTTGTCCTCACTGTAATGCCTCTGATGTTTTATTATCAAGTATGATGTTGATTGTTGCTTTAAAATAGATCTACTAGTATGTAAGCTCCATGAGAGCAGAGGATTTTTTTTTTTTCTGTTTTGTTAACTGCTGTATCCCCAGCATGTAACACTGCATCTGGTACCACCATAAACTCTCAATAAAGATCTGTTGTCTTTTCTTCTGTTCTTAGTTTATATCAAGATTGAATGTTGAATTTTATCAAATGCTCTTTTGATCTCTCAAATAACTATGTTTTAATTACAGTATGTTATTCGAATAGGGTGCTGGATTTCTGAAAACATTTCTATGTGATGCTTAGTTGTTCAGCACATAGTTTTGAGCAATTAAATTCAAGACTCTGGCATTATACCAGTGAACAAGAGTAAGTCCTGACTCTTTTTGGAGCTTAATTTAGATAATTTCAGTTTGTAATAAATGACAAGTAAGATGAGTGTTGGAAATGTAACAGAGGATCTGGGCAGTTATTGTAAATAGGGTGGTCCGTAATGTTGCTTTTGCCTCCCACGGATTTGTCATTCCTTTTTCCCTGGGTGACGGAGCCACAAAGGATTACTCAAAGCCCATCTCTTCTGAGCAATGAGAAGCCCCGAAGGGGTTAATCTCCCAGAACCCTCAAGAGAGGCATTCCTTCCATTTGGGAAATTAACCACGAATTGGGTTTCTCTTCCCACATTTATTCTCCAGACCAGGAAGTTACAGGAAGAGAACACAGGTGGGGTTATAGTTTAACAGTTTAGGCTGGTAACATTCAGTAAAACAAGCAAGGTGACATTCCATAATGCAGTTTGCAAGAGGTTAAGTCGATCCACCAACAAAAGCTTAATCTTAGCAAACATTCTCTCTCCCCACACAATTCCCAGTATCTTTACATATCAATCAGTAAATTGTTTGTCCTTTAGCCAGAAACCTTGCTGTGTTACAATTCTTTATCTTAAAACAGGGACAATAGCCTGGGGAAAATTTCCTGTCTTTTGCAAGGTCAACATTTTAAATGTACTTTTAAGAAGTTAGGCTAAACCTGAAACTACAGGGAACTAGATTCTGTGAAATATATTTGCTTTATAAATGTAAGTATACTCCACAAGGTAAGGCCTCTCTGAGAAGGTTACATTTGAGCCAGCACCTGAATGATGAAAAGGAATGATGAATGTGAACATTTTGGGAGAAATGCATTTTGGACAGAAGGAATGGTGTTGCTCTGCCTGATATTGTGCTTTCCTTGTTAGATTTTGATTTCAAGCATTTGTTGCCTTCATAAAATGATGTACTTGATAAAATGAATTGAGAAGCTTGAAAAACATAGGAATTCCTTAAAGATTTTAAACAAAGCATCTGAAAACATGTTCTGCCTGTTCTCTCTTAACTTTTTCCAGTTTCCCCCCATAATTTATAATGTTTTCTATGACTTTCTTGATGTTTTCTTAGAAAATGCTTTTTTCTTTGAGATTTCAAGTTTTTTAGCATAGAGCTAATACAAAGCATATCTTGAGCTCTCTGTATCTGAGCTATTCTAATTCTTATTCTTATGATATTTATTTTCTCTTTTTAAAATTGGAAAAAAAAAAAAAAAAAAAAAAAAAAAAAAAAAAAAATTGAGATTTGCTGGAGACTGGTTTATTTTATTGTTTTGTTTATAAAAATCTCTTATATTTGTCTTTTTTTCTGTTTTCTTAGAAAATAACTTTAATACATTTTCACACTTTTTTAGATTTATGTTCATTTCTTTAACATCTCAATTTCTTACACCTTGGTCAATTTATTTGTACTCTTTCTTGCCCTTAAGACTGTGAATTTTCTTCTGAAAACATTTTAAAATTTGATTTTCTTCTTTGGCCCAAGAGTTATTTAGAAACATATTTAGAATTCCTAGTAGTTTGCTTTTTGTTTTTGTTTATCCTTTTCATATTAATCTTTCATTTTATTTCATATAGGTATCTATTAAGGTCTCGGTGATTTAATGTTTCATTAACATTGTAAAATGTATATACATATACAAGGGTACTTCAAAAAGTTCGTGGAAAAATATTTTTGTATTTCTTTTGTTGTTGTTTTGGCAGCTGGCCAGTAAGGGGATCTGAACCATTGACCTTGTGGTGTTACAACTCCATGTTTTAACCAACTCCACTAACTGGCCAGCCCCATAACCTTTTTTTTTTTTTTTTTTTTTTTTTTTAAAATTACAATAAAGGGCCTATCAACCCATGCCGGGGGGTT